TGCTTGTACTCCGTGTCTTTGAATTTTCTTTTTCTGGTGTGTGGAGGAAAGATTAGTCCCTTTACTGTCCCATGATTTATCATTTTGCATATACTTCCTTTCTAACATTCTAGAGTTCTAGTGTAACTGATTACAAAAAACGATTACAAAAAATAGAAAAGCATTTCCAAGTTGGCATGGGGAGCCAGCCTTGACAACTTGTGGGGAGGTACTTGCAAGCACATTCTGAGTTAGCTACTTTGATTAATTTTGCTGGAATGAGACTGTCTTCTCAATATGACAGTTCTCAACACTTAGTAGTTGTTTAATGTTCCCAATAGGCTCAGCAGTGCACTTTGTAAATCAGCAAAAAGTAAAATGAAGGTCTTTATTTTACCACTTCAAAAATTATTATCCTTTTTGTTCTGCCTTGTGTTTGTATGCTGATAATATATGCTCTGTAAAGGGACAAGGAGCAGACTGACCTGGAAAAGGAAGTCTTTTTTATGTAGCACTGTCTTTGATCACTCACAAGACTTGTGCTCTGATCTCAGCTCATTGACATCAATGGAAGAAAGACTGCTATTGGCTTAGGAGGAGTGGGGTTGGCTCATGTTCGCATAGAGTCCATATACGCAAAAGCAGATGCTAAAAGATAAAACATATTAAAAGTCAGAGTTGCAGAAAAGATACTTCCCTTGCTTTTCCACAAGCTTAGCTTTATAATGCAATCAGATGTTTCTTTGCTATTTTTTTCCTTGTCCCTGACACAGGAAATTCCAATTTCTACATCTATTGTGCTGTTTACCTAAAGATAAACCTGGCATACAGAAAAAAAAAGGAGAGCTTGGTGAATATTTTCTCTAATGTGAAAATGGAAGGACTCCTGCATAGATGCTCCTGGGATGCTGAAGACAGGAAAAGGGAAAATAAGACTGTAGGGAACCCCCTCCCAGCTGGATTTCCCGTAGGAAGAGCCATTCCAGAGAGGGAAGCTCAGCACTTTCATAATCGTCACAGTCATCAAACAAGTGAATAATAGCAGAGTCCATTTAAAAGATAAAGAAATTTCTAATGGACTCTCTCTGGGTGACAGTTTCCAGACAAAGTAGATCAGCACAACGAAATCCAGACACGTGAAGTCAGTATATGGCCCTAAAAGGACTCCTCCTCAGCTCACTTGAGGGAAAGAAGGACAATCTTCATTCTGACTTATTGAAAGCACATCATCTTCAGAAGTATTAGTAGATCATGATAGTTTCATCATAGGCCATTCAATTGGTTAGTTCTTTGGCACTGTTGTTTCAGAAGCCATGTTTGATATTCAACATTCAGAATGCTTTTGTCACTGAACTGAATGAGAATATGTAACGAAACAATACTTGACGCTACCAAGAGAGTTCCTTTAAGACAAGAGTCTTCAAGTGCTGTGAGGCTAACATTTAGGCGTAGACCAGCCCACTGCACCTTTTAAACCTAGAGGTTCTGGCCAGTGCATTCGTCCTCTAACTAGCCAAGCACCTCTTCTCAGCTGGTTATGCCTCCTACATAAACATCACAGCTATGCAATGCAGGCAGCAGTTAGAGAAAGCTTTACTGCTGAGTTGGTCTTCAGAGTTTGATCTGATTCCTCTTCGTATCTCACAGGTTATATGCTGACCTTACTCTAAAATTTCAGCTGACTGACACAGACTTGCACCAGCAAAAATAGACACAGGATTACGTACACCTAATGTCTCCATGAGGCATATAAAGATTTATTCATTCAAGCTTATTCCTTTAACATTGGACTGAAATGGTATCGTTTTTTTCATTGACATGTGTGAGAGCAGAAGCAATGTTTATGAAGGGTTAGGTTTGGGGAAAGATGCCACAGAAACAGAAGGTACAATTATTAAAATATACTGGAAGAGCCAAATTCATCCCATAGATAGATACATGTGTCACTCCTAGTTACATTAGTTGGATCCCTCCATACCTCGTAGGTAGAATTATGTCCAAAAACTTAAATTATCTTTGTGATTTTTCTTTCCAAAACTGAATATTTATCCTCCTGCCAACATGTAGATGTGAACTGAGAGTAAATCCCATTCCACCCTGAATATCTTCTTCAGATTCTATTAAAAATGAGGAATTGCCAGCTAAAGGCTTAGATTGAAGTAGATTTGTCACCCCTTTCTCTTTTTGTGTTGGACTTGGAGGCCCTTTATAGCCTTTTCAGAGTTTCTAGGTACTGTGGCTCCAGCTAATCCTGGGTGACTCAGAAAGTTAAACAGAACATACTGGTCCAGAGAGCAGAGGCTGGTGCAAGAGCCTGGGTCTCTCATGCTTTGTCATAGTCAGAAGGAGTATGCAGGAGGAGAGGGAGGGAGAAATTGTGTAAAAAGCCATCTACTAAGAAAAGAATGTTTGATTTGGATCACAGGATGTGAGACTGGAGAATGTATTGCATAACTTTATGGCTTGTCCTTATTTGCAATGATTCAGTATCCGGCACTGCTCATCCCATTTCTAAAAATGGTATTGAAGCATTAGAGGGTATTCAGAGGTGATGGGAATAGCTGAGGAATGGGAGGAAAGCACCTTTCCATTTTACGGCTGACAGCAAAGACTGGGTCTGCAGGTCACCGTACAGGTTGCTGCCGATCTTTGGTTCATCCTTCCCTATTACCTAATGGATATTCACTGAGCCCAAATCCCAGTAGTCTCTGTTGCCAGAGGCTCATCTGCTCCATGCTGAGCTTAACCAAAGGTCAAGACAATCCTTCCTTAGTGATATTTTTCTTAGAATTGTATTCTGCGCATGTACGCTCCTAGCACGGAGGAGGAGCAAAGAAGTGGGTGCAGTGTTGCTGGGGGACGGTAATAGCCCTTGCCACACCAGTTCTGAGGATGCCCCTGCTGAGATCAACCCTTGATGGAGGAATCCCTGCAGCATCTTTGGGACCCCGTTCAGAGGCATTCTCTCTACCTCAAAGAGGGTGCCTCCAGGACAGTCTTCTTTATCAGGTTCATTTCATTAGCAGGTTAAGGACTCCTTTCTCCTCATCCCTGAAAAATAAGCCTCATCCAAACCTACAGTCCTGAACTTCAAAAATTTGTTGCACCCCCCAAAATAACCCACCTCCCCTTCCTGCTCCTCCCCTGTACTGAGCTGGGAAAAGGGGAGCCAGGACATGGCCAGGCCTTTGGCATTGCCCTGCCCTGCAGAAGGCTTCCCCGCTTGGGCAGGCTGCAGCTGCATGGGACAGAGCCCTGCTCTCCTCACCTCCTTATTCTCTCGGCATTTTTTGTTTTGCTTTGCTTTGCTCTAAAGGGCTCCAAAACTGACGCCCAGTCAAACTCAAGGGAGCAAAGGCCAAGACAAGGAAATTGCTCATTAAACTATCCATCCCAATTCCTGCTACTAAAAGAAGAGAGGGTGTGTGAAGAAAACTAAAGAGACCCCATTGATGCTGGGCAGGGACAGGCAGATTCATGGTTTTCTCTGTGCAGGGCAAAAGGGTTTATCCTTTCCTTCTTCCCGCAGCACCATTTAAAGTTTGAGATAGATTAAGGGTGGCCTGGAGTTGGGAGAACCCCCCCCCACACACACACACCTGATTGCACCGGAAAGCAACTGCTGCTGCTCCCGTAAATACGCAGAGACCCACGTTGCCCGGAAAAACGGATTTCTTCACTGAGGTGAAAAAAGAAAAAAGAAAAGAAAAAAAAAAGAAAAGGCACATCCTCCCTGAACTCTCATGCCAGCACATGTAACGCACCCAGCATCCGTGCCTGGGGCGGGGGTGGGGGGTGGACTCTTGTTTTGGGATTTTTATTTTATTTTGTACGGAGATCTATTAAAAAGAACCCACAAATCCCCCACCCCTAACCGCTAGCT